GGCGCCATCTTGGGGCGCATAGGGGGGCGGTCGAGCCCAAACTTCCTCAGGCTCTGATTTCTCCGCGGCAGTCCTGGCCTCCTCGATTAACCCACCCCAGAAGGATTTAGCACGTTTCTGTCCCTCCGTGGCGGGTCGGGGTTCGATTGAGAGGACATGTAATCGTCATCGTCAGAGGGGTGCAAAGTCTGCGTGGCCGCCCCGACTCCCAGTCCCGGGGTGGCCAACAAACGGCTCTCTGCTGCCCTCCAGGTCTCCCGCTCCTGCATGGCCCTGCGCAGGGCCCGCGCGACTCTCCCCCACGACTCTAGGCTTCTCCCACAACCCAAGGACCTCATCTCCTCAGTTAACGCTTTAGTGCACTTATCCCACACTTCGAGGTGGAGAATATCCACCAGCTGGTCAATGACCCCAATTCACAAAAGCCTCGCAATAGCGAGAGTAAAATCTTTGGGCTTACAATCATACCCCACTGCTTATCTAACTGCGATACGACCTTCACAAGGACTTCCATCCTCCTTGTTGGTCCGGGAGCGTCCTCCCCCCCGGGCTGGTCCTGCTGCTCCGGCCGCCGTTCACCCGTCCAGGCGACAGTCCCGGGTTTCGGCACCACTTGTTGCCTATCGTAGGCGTGGCGACCTGGTTCGGGAACGGCACGGCAACCAATCCCAAGTTGCTCGGTCCATCGGCTCGCTGACACCAATGTGGTGGACGGCAAATGGCATTTATTGGCGGGAAAAACAGCCTTATATAACCTGGGCACTGAACGCTATTGGCTATCGGGAGGGGGACCCTGTCTTCCCGTACAACGCGATATCTTCCGGGCGCCAGACCCTCACTACCACACTTGTCCTTGACCTCCCTCATCAGATTTAATTCCAAGTGGGCCTTAGCCTTCCTTGTCACATCTTTGCAAACCCTGACAGTGTTTCTATATTCCTTCCAAGAGGCAAGACCCCTTGTCCACATTTCATAGACTTTCATCTTCCATTGGAGTTTTTTCGTGAGTTTTTTGTTCATTCATGCAAGTCTCCTGCCACCTTTGCCTGATTTCTTACTTTTAGTGATGCACTGATCCTGAACTTGGAATAAGCGGTGCTTGAATGTCAACCAACTCTTTGAGGCCCCTTGTCTTCCAATGCTCTAACACATAGGATACCTCCAAGTAGTTCCTTGAAGAGGTCAAAGTTGGCTCTCCTAAAGTTCAGGCTTGCAATTCTACTTATTGCTTTCTTTGTTCTGCCCTTGGTTTAACTTGCCCTCAGACACAGAGAATGAGGAGGAAAGGTCAAAGTAAAAAGAACACCATATATTTGCAATCTTGCCTAAGGTTTTTGTTCCTACTTTTTTTTTTTAAACCTCTGGCACCAAAGCCTCTTGTTAGCATTCTTTTCTTTCCTAGTAAGGTCAGTAGTCTTTCCAATTGTTAACTCATAATTGGCTTTGTTGGTCTCTCTTCCCCTCCCATAACAATCTAGATTTATTTTATCAGGCCAGCTGATGTGTGCTGTAGCATTACAACTACATTCCATATTCTGTCAAGTGTCAGAAATAGCAATGAATGCTACTAGTATAATTAGTAACAATACAGGTCTGTCACCTGCACAGAGATAGTTTAGTTCTATGACAGTGATTTATTACATTTTAGGGAAATTTTAAAGTGCTTGTAATGTTGTCGGCTATTGCTTGACACTGTAAGTAAAATTTTAATAGATACTGGTGGTTTGTGTTATTTTAAAGAGTAGATGCAATGTCTTCTGAAACTTTTAAAGAGGTTTTTTGCATCATTTTTTTTTCCTTTTTCATTTGAGCTAGCTACTTTAAACAAGCATGAGTGAATTTACTTCTTATTCTTCTAGATGAAATTATGCAAAAGGTTAAAGATGCTGGATTTACTATCTCAAAAATTAAAGAAGCAGCTTTAACTCGTGAAATGGCTACACAGTTTTACAAGGATCACGAAGGAAAACCCTTTTTTGAAGACCTGGTGGGATGTATGACTGAGTAAGTAACTAGCTATACAGTACTGAGATACGTAAAGTACATATCATGTCTTTGAATATATAGACCCAACAAAACAGTTCCCTATGTGGGCTGAGGATTTTATACTGTTACTTTCTCTAGCGAGTTCAATCAGTTTTTCAGTGTTTTATGAAGACTTCTTAGCATGAAGTGTCCTTCATTTAAAATGAAAATTTACAACTCTTTCCAAAATTATGAGCAGTAATTATTATTTTGGATTTGTTTCCTCAAAGAACTCATTTCATGCAAGTAAAATATTTTTATTGTACTATCTTTATATAACTTTTAATATAAGTGTTCATTGTCCTGCTTCAGAAATTTTTAAGTGAGAGTCTGTTAAAGACAAGAAGTCCAAATCCAAAAAGCTTTGTGGTGTTCAAATATAGGCATCAGTAGGTTTATACTGTCTTAAACAAAACACTCCAGAAAGACATTTGAAAATTTGAACAGTTTAACATTATTCAGACAACATAATGTTTGCCATAAGTCTTCACAGTATCTCTGAAGTTAAAGCTAAATCTGCATCTCACAACAGTGGAAGAACTTCCTTTTGTCGATTTTACAGGGGCCCATCAGTGGTGATGGTCTTAACAAAGGAAAATGCTGTCCAAGAGTGGAGGAAACTAATGGGTCCAACAGATCCAGAAGTGGCAAAAGAGAGCTGTCCTGAATCAATTCGAGCTCAGTTTGCACAAAATATTTTGTCTAATGCTGTTCATGGATCATCTACTAGAGAACATGCACTGGAAAGCATTGAGTATGTTTTTGGTGAGATTGATATAGATTGAGCAATTAGTATTTGATTTTTTGAAATTTATAGTCAAGTCATTAGATACATTTGTCTACCTAGACACCTATATTTAACCTTATATGTACACACACCTATTTTCCTCCATCTGTTTTTTGTTATAAGCCCATTTCTGTGTAACAAGGAATATCTATGTAACAAGTACTAGAAAACTGATGTTAGTAGTGATTTATTCATGTTTGATATATATTTTTTTGTTTGTTTTCATCACTTAACAAATGCATGTTTTTCAAATAGCCCAAGAGTCTAATGTGTTTTGTGTATAATTATCTTAAAAACAGTATCAAGGAAGGTCCTTAAAGTACTGCTATGATACACCTGCTGTAAACACTTCAACCAAACTTAATTGGCTTTGCAAAGCTTTACATTTATAGCACTGAAGAGTTCTTTGCCTTGAATTTGACCAGAAACATGAATGACAGACATAGAACAGTGGTTAAGATGATTGGAAGGGATCTCTGTACATCATCTAGCCCAGCCTCCTGCTTTACATGGACCCACTGCCAACAATCAATCAGGACAGCAGTGGCTTTTTCCTGATCATGTCATGAAATCCACCAAAGATAGAGATTTCACTACATCCAAGTAACAGATTACTACGCCATGTCAAATTCCCAGTAAAACGCTTTTCCTAATATCCAAGCAGAGCCTGCCAAACCTTCCTTTGCGACTATTGCCTTGCAGGGAACATAGGGCCCTTCGCCATCCTCCAGCTGCTGGCAGTCCTGGCCTGGCCCTCTTCCTCAGGGCTCGCTCTGAGGCCACAGGGAGGTCGTTCCTGTTGTCCTGGTGCAGCAGCTCGGGATGCGGTGCTGGTACCAGTCCTTCCCTTTTCCTCAGAGCTTGGGGAAGAAGAGGTGGAAGGGTAGGAAGAGGGGCAGGGAGCAGCAGCGGGGGCTCTTGGGTAGATGGTGACTCCTCAACACCCAGATGAAAAGCAAGAGCCCCTGGAGCACCATTCGCAGATGTGGCAACGTCAATGGGCAAGCATGATCTTATAGTGGACACCCAGCTGTGATGGAGATGGATCCACCTCCATCAGCTCCACGTTGCCGTTGCTCTCCCTAGAATCAATCTCTGTGGGCTCTGGCTTGCTGCTGCTCTCCTGCAGGCGACATTTCTTCAGTGGAGGAGGATCCATCCCCCTTCATCACAGCTTTCACCACAGACAGGAAGGGAATTCAAATGCTGCTCTTTCCATCAGAAGGCTCTGGCAGTCAAGGCGCTGGTCAAAGAGCAAAAGAGGTTCTGGGTTCCAGGTCCATGTATTTATAGTTGTCCAGGAGGAATGTGGTTCATGAGATCGCAGGGCTGTGGCGTAGTGACCCTACAAATGTCCCACAATGACCAAACATACTGTTGGGTGGGGGAGTCTCCATGGCTCCAGCATTGCCCTGGTGCCACTCATGGGATTCCACAAGCCTCTGTTCCAAGCCAGTAACATTTCATCCATAACACCAATAAAGATATTAAATAACATTGTGCTCATGTGATGCTAAACCGGGAGGAGCGTTATAAAATAAACCAGAGTTTTGTTAAGCAGGTTATAACAACAAAAAGAGAATAGATAGAATACTGACCTACATCCTAGACTCCCTGCAAAACTCCAAAGAAGGGACCTCCAGAAGAGATCCTTCCTCAGTGGTAGTCAGCTCTTAAATGGGTCTAGGAGAGGTGGAGCCAGGCTACACCCCTTCTAGCAGCACAGGTGAATTGCCTTCACCTGTGCTCCTGTGGCTGACTCATTACTTGCCTCAGGTGATCAATCAGAGGTTCAGGCCATGATTCAGTAGTTCCCATACAAGTATGAACGCAGAAATGTAGGAAACTCATCAACTACGAGGACAACAGAAACCCTCAGGTCTGTGAACACTTCAAGGAACAGCCTCAGACATACACACACACACATACCTTGTGACTGCCAAACTTTATTTTTCAAAACATTTCTAATGATTGGATATGAGCAGCAATTTTAAAGAAAACGAAACAGTTAAGTTGTGAAATCCCACAGTGTAAATATGAACAGAGCCTACAGCCAATCTTGGGCTTTGGCTTATTATTTTATTTTATTTTATTTATTTATTTTAAGGAGAAAAGAAGTCTTAACTCTTAACACTGTTTCTGTAAGTTTCCCCACCAGTTTGCAGACAGTATTTTTTCACAAATTGTGTTCTTATAAAAGTGAAGCAACTCACACGCAGGAGCAGCTGTAGAAGAATACAACCAAGAAAAGCCTCAACAGCCTAAATGACATATGATATCAAATTAAATACCACTTAAGGCACAAACCTGTTTGGGGGGAAAACATCACATACAAAACAAGACCTGCAAAATAAATATTGGAGGGAGTGGGCAGGATGAAGCTAATTTCAGCACCTACTGCATCATTGCTCCAAAGAGAAATTCTGGCCAAATGTTTCAGAAAGGATGAAGCGAGTGATCACGACAGTACACGTTTGAGATGTATCAATGACCTGATGTTACAACTCTCATCGTAACTGCAGAAGTTACTACCATCTCTTTAAAGGAACACTGAACAGTTCCTTTAATGTAAATATCAACAACGAATCAAAGACATCTGCGGAGTAATAGCATTCCTCCTCTCATTACTGCCTTCACTACCTAGCCTCCCCAAGTCCTTCTGTTCTTTCATCCCAGGATTCCTTGGCTTGACCCTGAGTATCCAGTTTTCACGCTTTTTTTCCAGTGAATCTGATAATCTATTTTGAAACAAACATATTTGTTACAAAAACATATTCTATTTAGCTGGAAGTCACTATCCATAAACTGCAACAAGAGGAGGTACTTAAGTTCAGAAACGTGAGGAGAAAGGGCCGTAACCTCTGCACCTGTAGGTAACTCAGTCAAACAACTGGGACCCACTGCAGAAGAAACCATCTGTGGTAGTTCCAACACCTGGTGCATTCAGACAGGAAGAAATGCTTATAGAGTTTAATTGTTTGAATTTCAGAGATGACTCAGGAACACATCGCAACAAAAGGTGAGATAGACAGATGTAAGGACTATGCTCATCACCTTTAACATCTATCACACAGCACTCTCCTATCACACATACAAGTGACATATGTAACATATTGTCATTAAAAGCATTCACAAGCAGAGAGGTCAAACTGTGGTTTACTATTAAAGGTTGACAGCTACAAATTCACTTCAGTCCTCAGAGCAAATGCTGGCATTACTTTTTAGCATAGCCAATTTTGGTGTTAAACTAAATCTGCATGTTGCAAATAGAAAAGACAGCTTCAAAATCAAAACATCACTCCTAAAAGCAGAACGTGAAGCTCTAATACAGACACACGGCAGATAAGATGTAGAGAGATTCATTTTTTCTAAATTCACTTTAAATGCAAGCAGTTCAGGAATTAGAAAATAATGTTCATCTGAACACAACATGCACAGAACAGGAGGGGTTGCTAACAGCCTTCCAACCTGTTCTCTACCTGACAGATTCAGAGCTGAAGACTACAAAATGCCGCCTGATTAATTTATTCTCAGTGCTGCACCTTCGTGTAGGTGACAAAACTTGTAGCTGTTCGCCTACACTATCCTCAAATGGGGTTTCCTAGAAGAAAGAATAAATCAGATCTGAAAAATTTGAAGTGCCTGTCATACAGCTTGACATTTTTAATAGGCACCACTTCTCTTCTTCTGCAAGAGCAGAACCCAATCCCAAAATAATGCATATTTTATGTGCTCTCCTCAAAGTTTCTAAAGAGTTTGCAAAACAAACAAAACAAACAAAATACAAAAGAAAAACAAACAACAAAAAAAAAAAACACTGTAAAACAAATTTCAGACCAAAAAGATGTTCAATATTGCATAAGGCTATTACTTATGGGACTTGTACACGTTCTACGCACAAAGCAATCTTTAATGGTACAGGGACATTTTGGCAAAAGTAAATCTACTAACATGAAGAGTTTGGGTGGCCAAGGAACACCACTAAGCTCTGTCACTCCAGGAAAGCAAAAATACCCGGTTTTAAGACAGGAAACTTTTTTTCTGAATGCTGTTAGAAGCTTTGCTCTGTGTCTTCATGATTTCTCCTCACTTTCCTCAGGCTCCAACCATCTGCTACTTTGAGTGCTTGGAAGCGTTTCTTTGCTGAAGAGAATTTCTACGTTATCAGTTAAATACATGTGATTCTCTCCTATTAAATTAATAATGACAAAAGTCTTGTTGCTTGTACTCCATAGTAAGAATTCTTCTACCTGTTGTAAGAATCTAAAGACATAGTTGGTTTTCAAAAAAACAAAAGAGTTATTTCAACATAAGCACTGCTCTTTCCTGTAACCCCTACAGAAGCAGATTTACATGGAGGAGCTGGGAGAGAAAAGAATGCACAAACCCTGAAGATCAATCTTTACAACTAAGGCACTTCTATCAATACAGTAGACAGACTAGAATTTCTGATTTGGGTAAATGCTATAGCAGAACCTTCCCTTCTAAAGAAGGCACCCAGAAGGATCCAACTGTAGCTTAGTTTCTTTGCCGTACTTACAACAGTTAGACTTGATTAAAAATGACATGTAACACTAGGTACCAAAGATAAATGTTACCCACAAAGGCAAATATCCAAGAAATTACGTGAAAGAATTCTGCAACATCTGTTACAGAAAATCCTTACCCAACTATGAATCTCTCTTTAGGCTGTCAGCAATTCTAAGGCTTATTTCAAAACAAATCTTTAAGGTACGTTTAATACACTAATAAACTGATTAGCCATAATATTTTACCTATAGTCTGTTTCGAACACAGGCTTTCCACTGAAATACCAAATCATTCTTTTTTCTTCCTGTGACATGTTCTCAAAAATGGAAACAGATTCCAAAGGAAACCAACACTTCTGCATTACACATCCTTGAAAATACCAACTCTCTAGTACTGAACACCTGAAGTTCCTCAACACTTTAGGAACATCATTTAAAAACCAGAAGACAGAACTTGTTTGTACTTATCGTGGCAAATAATGGTGTGCAGTTTGATACACTGGTTAAACACAGTCCTTTGAACAGCAAAAAATACACAGCTGTGCTCTGTGTTTTGATAAAGGAATTTGAGAATAGATTTCAAAAGTGCCGGAAAAACCATACATTTTTTGCTGCAGTTGCAACTCCATTTTCAAATGACATAAATGCTTTCTCTGCAAATTTCCAAATGGAATATGCAGAGCTGCAACCAGACATGCAACTCAACAATCTGACCAAAGGTCAGACCTTTATGAGCCCCATCTGCCCGGAAAGAACCACCTTTCAATTTAGAGTAATGTCTTAATCATCTCATTGCTTTTTGGATGAAACAAGGTAGGATGTCCCACCAGTTCCATGTTTTTGTTGCTCTTTTTTATGTTTTCATTTAAAAATAATACTTAGTTGAGTTTCTTGGATGCATTCATTTTTGTTACATAGGAAGGTTGCTTCACCTTCAACCACCTGTTACATGGCCAAGGAGAGAACAGGCTGAGGACAGCAGCCCCTGATCAGCCTTCCCATCCTCCGGGTGCAAAACCCCAGCACCAGGCCCCAAGGACCTCACAGCCCTCCAACGCACCCCCTGCAGTCCCAGTGCGGCCGCCCAGAGGACACCAGGCCCTCTCCTCCACACCCCTCTGCTTTGGCATCAGGGCAGAAGAGATGCCACCTTCTCACGCTCCAGGGCCAGAGCTGAGGGATGGCAAAGGACAGCTGACACGACAACAGAAACTCCACTGTTTTTAATGACTGCCTCTCCCTCGGCTGCCTGTGGGGCGTCACCATGCTTTGCTCCTCCTCCACCCCATGCAGCTGCAGGGGGCTTGAGAAGCCTCTGCCCCCACTGACCCTCTTGCTACATTCGTGCCACTGCCTCCCAGAAATGGCCGCAGGCCCCAACTTTGGGACCGCAGCCACCGTCTTTGGGTCAGCTCCTAGTGCTCAGAATCCTGTCGTCGTAGGCACCAAACTGCATTCATCCGCAGTTGCTGAGGTGACTCAGCGGAAGCTTTCTACTGCTCTGCAAGTGAAAACCTGTTACTTCTTGTTACTTCTCTTTACTTCGGAGAACGGGATGGAGCAGCCACCCTTAAAGAAGAGGCGGCTGCTGGAAGAGGATGATGATATCGAGCCTATGGAGGTGGACCCGCCTAGCAGCCAAGAAGAGCCCATGGAGGTGGACCTGCCTGGCAGCCAAGAAGAGCCCATGGAGGTGGATCCACCTGTGGAAGATGAGCAGATGGAAGTGGATCCACCTCCATCGGGGCACACTGGCCATCCCTCTGCTGCTGCCAGGCCAACCAGGAAGAGGTCGCGCCAGGATCCATCTACCTCCCGTGAAATGGCCGCCTCGACGCCGGTGCTGATCTTCCTGTCCTGTAAGTTTGCCCTTACCTGGGAGAGCCCCAGCTCACGGCCATCTTGCGGGCTCGCATTGAGCCTGCATTGCCTGGTCCTTCTTCTTTTCATGCCAAGGCTCCTACGAGCCCTTCCTTCCCGACCCCCTCCCTCGTCCCTTCCCAAGTCCTCTTGACTTGCAGAATCAGACTCCATAACAACAAAGCAGTTATAGGAGCAGGTACATTTATGTTTATTTCAGTGGTGCACATGCCAGATGCAAAGGTGAATTTTTCTACCTACGCTGCATACCAGGAAGCAGACGTGTCATATTTGCAAGCCGAGCTTGTGCACATTCAATAGA